CCATGTCACCAATTTACAGTCCTGGAGAGAAGAAATGAAAAAAAAAAAAAGATCTAATAACAAATGGATAACTATGACACATCTACACAGTGGAATATCATACAGCTGTTAGGGAAATGAGGTCATGAAAGAGAAAGAGAGAGAGCGAAGAAAAATGCCTGCCATAGAGGCAGGCAGGCTGGGGGGTGGGGGTGATGGGAGGGAAACTGGGTACATGGTGCTTGGGAATGCACACTGGTGGAGGGATGGGTGTCAGAACACTGTGTGATTGAAACTTAATTATGAACAGCTTTATAAAGATCTATCTCACAGTGATTCAATAATAAAATCCTAAAAACAAAACAAAAAAAGGGTCTAATTAGAAAAAATCAAGTGTCAGTCAGGACTTGATCTCTCTGGGCTCTTTGGAGGGGAGTCCCATCTTCCTCCATTTTCTCGAGGCTGCTGTGTCCAGACACTCTGTTCACTGCTCTGCAGTCTCCATCAACAGCTGTTCCTGTTTTCCTTAACAAAGGGATGTTTCTGGATAATCCATTGTATTTCTTCCATGAACCTTAACTTAGCCACATCTGGGACATCCATTCACTATACAAGGCAACATAAGCATAGGGCTGGGGACCAGGTCGAGGGCATCTTTATATGGTCAGTGCTGGTTCTCCTACCACAACACCCCTTCTGCTCTGCTCGCAGCCTTCCGTGGTGCAACTCTGAAGAAGACATTGTAATCCCACCTTTCACAGCATTTTGGTTTTTGAATAAAAGCAATTGTGACTACCTGTCTTTTCCAAATGGGAAGCACACACCACAGAGGTCACGTCATTTATGAAAGCCACGCAGTTAGTTGGTGGCTCAGCTGCTGTAGATTTGGTTGATGGATTTTTCTGAAGGCGCTGTCAGTGGTGAGCTGGCCCCATGCAAACCGCTCTCGGGTGAGTTTCGGATTCTGAGCCCTTCATGAGCATGATGGACATTCAAGTCAAGCAATTAGCTGAATTCCTAAGATGCCCTTTTCCTGACATTAAAATACTGATGTTGTTTTTGAAATGGGATATTTATGTTCTGATGAATCAGTGCTTGATATCTTCACTGAATGTGTAATGAAAACAGAAATTGGGCCATGAGAGAAAGAATTGACCCTATCAGTTGCCACAGAACCTTCCCTTCACTTCTGAGCTCTATTATATTTATCTGAGGAGGGAGGACTTTGGGCTGGTTTCTTTTGAGCTATGATGACCCTCATTCTGCAGAGTGCTTTGATCTGAATTCTTTGTGAAGGAGGTTGGGTAGACATCAAGACATGCTGCATTTCAATCCAATGGACCCCATATGTAAGGGACACTTTTCTCTAGTGGGTTTTAGTTTTTAGTATTATAAAAACATAGGGCATTTTTGAAATATTTAAAGGGCTGGAGCGATAGCACAGCGGTAGGGCATTTGCCTTGCACGCAGCCAACATGGCCGACCTGAGTTCGATTCCTCCGCCCCTCTCGGAGAGCCCGGCAAGCTACCCAGAGTATCTCGCCCGCACGGCAGAGCCTGGCAAGCTCCCCGTGATGTATTTGATATGCCAGACACAGTAACAACAAAGTCTCCAATGGAGACGTTACTGGGCCCGCTCGAGCAAATCGATGAACAACGGGAGGGCCTTTACCTTTTTACCTTTTTAAAGGGATTCAAAGTTTAATTATGCTCTCTTAGGCTGAGATATTGGTTGTTGGGGGATTTAGCTAAGTGATGCATTTATTCATTAGACAAATGATTGGCCACTGTTACAGAAGCAGAATCTATCCCCCAAAGTTTGGGATTCTATATCCAAAAAGCCCTGTGAGAGTGGAGGATCACCCCAGAGGCTCTAATGATACAATTTATTGAGGTGCTTCATTGTAAAATCACTCTTCTTTTTTTTATGTTTGAAGGTCATTATTTTTCCTTAAAGGAGTCTTCTTATAGCCAACCAAATCCTGTCCGCTTGTCTCTGTTGACTCTCTGCCCATCCCACCTACCCAATTTTACAACATGCTAAATGCAGACCTATATCCTTTGTATTGTAAAAGTCTGTTCATGCCGTGAACTTCAGGAAGTGACCAGCAACGAGGGCCAAGCAGCTCGAATAAAACAGGACTGCCTTTAGTAAGAGCTGAACAAGAAGACATGACTCTACTCTCTCTTTGAAACTCCTGGTGTTGGTGAAGAAGGAGAAGGGCTGGAGGAGAAGAGCAAGTGGGTGGAGCCCTGTGGGTGGTGCTCAGAGCAGAGTGGCCAGTGCTCAGAGAGGAGTGGCTGGTGCCCACCCCATGGCTGGTGCTCAGAGTGAGTGGTGCTCACATCTTCCTGAGAACCAATTTCATTGCTGAGTAGGTGCAAACATAGTGGGCAGGTGGTGGGACATCCCAGAAGCACCATGTGGGGAGTAAACCACGCTGTACTCCGGGCAGACAGCAGACTTGGGGACAGGGCTGTGGTATCCCGGGCAGGTAACCTGTGTCCAGCCAACCCAGAGGGCTGTGTTAGAGAGAAGACGATGTCAGCCAGAGACCACAGCATCCCGAGTCGGGGGATGGGGTGCAGGACTCAGCATCTTCCCCATGGACAGCAGAGCTGAGTGAGGACTGCTCTGATCCTTTCTATGCAGCCCACCCCACCCTGCAACATTGCCTGATCCTAGAACCTTCCAAATCCTCAAGGCCATGTGTAAGAACAGAGACCTAGGTAAACACTCGTAATAGTCTCCCCCCTCTCCCAGCCAGATGCTGATGGAGCCATTTCCCCCAGTGCTTTCACATGCACTGCAGGTGCCTCTCTGGTATATAGAATCCCTATTTCCCTGCTAACATCGTTCTACTCGGGGAAATTCTAGACTTTCTGATATTCTCGTGCTTTGGTCCTCAGAACATGCTTCATCCACTTAAGTTCTCTCTCCCATTACTACTTCTGCTTTCAACAATAATAAACTAAAGTTCACTAACAAACAGATAATTGTTAGCTGAAGGCCCTTCTCATAGCTGTGTGCTTAAAGTCATAATTTTCTTAATTTTAATCTTTAAAAAATCCCTCTATTTACCTTACCCATACATAGACCTGATAATGTCTCTTTTCTTTTGTTTTGGGGCCACACCCAGCAGTGCTCAGGGCTCACTCCTGCTGGGACTCAGGGACCATATGGGATTCTGGCAGGAGAGTGGACCCTATGCAACGCAAACGCTCCACCTGCTGTACTATCACTTCAGCCCCTAATAATACTCCTTTTATATAATTTGTTTTAAGATATCCTCTGCAGATTATTTATTATATAAAATAATAAAACAAAAACAAATTGTTTTTCATATATGCAAATATATATAAGTATAGTACACACTATGTGCTAAAATTATTCATTTCACCTTTCAAAGGTATGATTACATAGATGCTTTAATAATTTGGGAAAGATTCCTGTTTAAATTAGTTATACAAAAGATGTAATTTTGTACACCAAGAGAAAACACAAAAATATCTTCATGTAGAGAAAAAATTAACTAAACCTCCTTTCCATGGGAACGCGTTTTAGTTTCTTTCAGAGAATAAATACATTGATTTTTCCTACAGTTATCAAGTATGAATTATGTGTCCAATATAACACCCAAAATGTTAATTTGGCTGAGGAGAAGAAAGTAATGAAGCCCAAAATGAATGTTTTTTATATTGGATTCTGACCCAGCACATGGGCAAGACCCAGACTTCATATAAAAGGGTAGGAATGATAGTGCTGCCATCACATTGAGTAATTTGCCTAAAAATAAAATGAGTGTGTTTCAAATTGAACATTTTGCATTTTGGGGCTGCCTTTTTTTGTCCTGTCAAACCATACAGTGAAAAACTAAGAAGCACAAGGAGAACTCAGGAATGAATTTTGATGTGTTTTCTTGAGCCCTGCAAGGAGGGATCCCTCAGCTCAGAGCCATGAGCCAGGCACTGCCAGGTGTGGCCTCAAACCCCACCTTCCCTCATCCCCCCCTTAAATAAACCCCATGCAACCTAACAAGACACCTGAGAATCTGGTGTAGAACAATAATTGATGACCAGGCTGATTTTGGGAATTTGGAATGAATGGTACTATTGTTAATATTAATACTAGTGGTACTAGTGGTACTATTGACACTAATGGTGCTTTTGATACTTGTGGTACGAATGGTGTTATTGGTACTAATGGTACTATTGGTACTAGTCATATCACCACTATTCCATCAACACTATTCCAGATTTCTAATACTTATACTGTTGATATTGATACTGGTACTAAAGATACTACTATTTGAAAGACCTGACATGGATTAGAAATATTAACTAATCAGAAGTACTAGTTGCTATTGTGACTCAGTTTAAACTGCTCCAGAGTTTCAAAAGAATGATACGAAAGAGTAATAACCCTGTCTTGGTTCCAAATGCGAACTTTGCCTTTACTTCTCATTTCTGTCCTTATTTGTAAAGGGGTGGGGGGCTGCACCCTGCCATGCTCAGTAGGGCACTCCTAAGTCTGCTTAGGGGACTCTGCATGGTACCAGGGACTGAAGTGGGCTAACCTTGTTGCGAGGTAAGCGCCGTCACCCCTATACTGTCTTTATAACCCCTTGTTTCTGCCTTTTGAGCTTATAAACTATTTTCACAAATGCTTCTATTTACACCCTTGTCGGAGGAAATGTTTTTAGATTGTTCTCAGTAAGAGACAGAAAACAAAGAATAAATTACTTCCCCAGGCATCCCAAATTGCTTCTCAAGAGGTAATATATGCAGAGGCACAGTCAGCCACAGAAGTCCTGAGCAGATTTGATTTAAGCCTCATTTCAAAATTATATTGATCATCAAGCCATAGCTAGGCTATTTAGTAGGGGAATATTCAAACAACTTCCTAAAAAGTATTACTTTGAACAGAGAGCAGATTTCTTGCCCTGGTTCTCTGGAACCCAAGAGTTTCTGGACAAATCCTGGCAGTGGGCATTCAAAGGCCCCTGTGTCCTATTTTCCAGCCTGACCATCTCTGCGGAGTGCCCGATGCAGCTGGAAGACTTTCCCATGGATGCCCACGCCTGCCCTCTGAAATTCGGCAGCTGTAAGTATTCTTCCCACGTAAGAATAGCGGGTTCATGTTGGGAGATATTTTCACCTCATTCAGAAGGATTATGGGCAAATTTGTCGGGGGAATAGTGTTCTCAAATATACTGCACCGTGATGATTGGCCACTGGGCCCTCCGATGTGTGGCCTGAGGGTGTGGACCTGTGACTCAGCATCCAGAACTGAACCCTCAGGATCTAAATTGCAAGCTCAGCCCTGCATTTGCTCAGGGCCATGCAGCATGCTGTGTCTGGCAGGGCTCAGGAGTCCATGTTGGGGCTGGGGTTCAAACTCTGTCCTGATGCATAACCAGGGCCCCATGCATGGAGGCTCTGTAAGGTGTCACAGATGTCTGAGTTCAGTCAGCTCTGGAAGACTGGAAAACTGCCGGCAGCCACGCCCCCCTCTTCCCCATGCTCACACCCCAAGCTGGTTTCCTGGTCCCTAAGCAAGGGGTACTGGCCATCTAAAATCTGCCGGCTGAGAACCATGTCTCCCAGACCATCACCTGGACACTATTGCTATGTTCATATCCCAGGTGCATTTATGGCACCCATGAAGTCAGGGGCTTCTGCCGGGGCCCAAGAAAATAATGCTTCTTCTGCCATGCAGTGCCCGAGTACCACCACTCAGGAAAGTCATGTGGTGCCAGGTTCAAACTCGGGTTCAGATCTGACCACTGAGCTATCATCATCTGGTCAGTTTTCTATGCATTCTAGTGGGCTCCCTCTATAGAAGTTTCCGGAGAACAGCCACACTGTCCGTGCGGTCCACAACCCTGGCATGCACTTTACCCCAGGGCTGTTAGTTAGTGTGCGCTGCCTGAATGAATCAGGCATTTTCATACAAATCAATGATTTGTCTCAGCAACACATCCTGGTAGAAACTCCTGGATTCCAGCCACTTCAGACAGAACGTCAACTCAGGCCCCCAGGGAATGCTTGTAGCCTTGGGCAATGGTATTGGAAAAGGGGCACAATTCTTTCATTTTTTGTATTTTCCTCCTGTGCTCACATCTTGTGTGGTTTTCAACAGATGTTGGGGTGGAGAACTGGTTTACTCCCTCTCTTCAGAGTAATTTATGGGTACGTGATTAGCCTGCCTTAGATTTCCTCCCATTCACAAAATGCTGGTGGTTATTTCTTTCATATATCATGTCTCTGATATTGCATCTGGGAAAAAAAGGCACCGCCACACCCATGACTTTCTCGAATGTTATAGTTTTGTAGTTTTGCATCTTTCACTGAGCTCTGTGATCTGTGTTGAGTATGTTACTGGAAAGAGTATAAAACCCCTGTGTAGGTACATTCTTTTGCCTGTGATTTTCAAGTTGTTCTAGAACCATGTGTTGAAAAGATTCTTTTTTATCTACTTTTATTAGATAAAAATCCTGGGGGGAGCCTTAAGTTCTTTTTCAAAGATCAGTTGATATCCATGAGTCTATATTTAGGGGCTCTCAATTCTGTTCCATTTGGATATTTATTTTTCCACACTGACTTGGGTGCTGGAGCTTTATAATAGATTTGGGTTATGTTTTTTGCTTTTCTTTTTTGTGCTAATATTTTTAAAATCAAGATGGGCTGCCTTCTACTTTATATCCCATCCAATGTGGTATGCTACTCGAGTATGAGATGTTGCTTCAAGAATTCTAAAATTTTAAATAAGGTGATACAGCTGGAGTTAAATTTTGGACTGGATGGTGACTTTGGGATCTGGAGGCATCTCTGCAGCTTGTTGTTCTCTTCCAAGATTTATTTGTGAGTCTCTGGATCAAGGCCAGTTAGTGAGCTTACATGGCACCAGAGGCAGTTCATGGGCATGACTGCCAGGATCCTGGGAAAACAGGAGGATGGGGGATGTTGCCCATTCCTGACTCGGAGAATCTGGAGATTTTGGTCACAAACTCACATACTTAAGTTTTTTAACAGATTCATTCTTGGATGAGGCTCGGATGAGCCCGTGAAAATCAGCCATGAGCATGACACCAATTGGATTCTGGAGGTTTTTTTTCTACTGGGGATCTCTTTGGGTGGGTGGAAGATTCACCCACCCCATTCCCGGGTGCCCCAAATCTTTATAATATCTTTGAAGTGTTGGAGTGGCTAGGTCAGTTCTCTGTCTTCATTTTTCTTGATGCTGACTTCAACATTCTGCTGACTACTCTGGGTCCTTTGCCTCTCTATAAGCTTTTGAATAATTGTTTCAATATCCATCAAACACCTTCCTGGAACTGGGAATGCATTATTGATTCTGCACATCAACTTAGGAAGAACTGTTATCCTGAAGGTCCTGATTCTTACTGTTCTTGAACGTGAAATGGCTCACTTTTTTGTTTAGATTTTATTTCTTTCACTAGTTTTAATTTTTCCCCATAAAGATTTGTACTTTTCTTGCTACATTTACACCTAAGGACTCCACTTGGAAATGTGCTGTGATAAATGATATTGGGTTTTTTTTTCCCAAAATGTAACCTGCTCATTGCTGGTATACAAGGATGTGACTGACTTTATTTATTTGCTTTGTCGCATGAGTCTTGATATAGCTGCTCACTATTTCTAGGAGAGTTTCTGTTGAGTTTGTTAAAAAATTTTTTACACAGAAAATCTTATTATCTCTGAGGAAAGACAGATTTATCTCTGCCTTTCATCTTTCATTCCCTTTTCTTTTCATATTGTAGTAGCTAAAGCTTCTGATATACTGTGGGGAGGGAATTCTTGTCTGACTTGTTATTGAAAAAAATCCAGTTGAAATTTCTTTTGGGGGTTGTTCATTGAAAGCATTTTGTTTTGGAGCTACCTATAGTGATGCTCATGGGTATTTAGGGATCCGAGGGACCAAACCTGGATTGTCCACTTGCAAGACAAGCACCTTACTTGCTGTGCTATCATTCCAGCCCCTTCTCTAGAATTTTCAAATGATGGGTTACATGGCCCTGGAGTAAGTTCTACTCAATCATATGTATCATTTATGTTATGTTTGTTGAACCCAATGCACTAGGACTTTATTAGTAAATTTTTAGGTTGGGGCCGGGGATAATGGAGCACGTGCCTTCCCCATATGAGGCTCTCAGTTCAGTTGGCAGTACTGCGTGACTGGTGCCAGGACTGGCCCTATTTCAATAAAAAGCGTGAAGAATTTTTTTGTGCCTATATTCATGAGGAATGTTGGTATGAAGTTTTGTTTTATGCAATATATGTAGTTTTGACATAAAGGTGATCATAAGATATAAGATCAATTTTAAGAAATAATTCTTTTTTTTTCTGTTTTTTGGAAAGTACTACATTTGGATGTTATTTTATTGTTGTTGTTTGCTTTTGGCTCAGCTGTGCTGAGGGCTGATTCCTAGCTCTGTGCTCAGGGATCACTCTTGGTGGTGCCTGGGGACCATATGTGGTACCAAGGATTGAACCTGTGTTGACTGTGCGCGAGGCAAGCACCACTGTACTAGCTTTCCAGCCCCTAATTCTTTCAAATAATGGTTTAAAATCTCCACTCAAACCACTTTTGTCTATTAATATCTAAAAATATATTTAGTTCTCAATGCCTTTCATAGCAATAAACCTATCCAAATCATTATTTCATCACGGATACAGTTGGTTTACCTTGTGTTTTATAAAAATAGACCATTGAAATTGTCTGGTGTCTTTTTTTTTTCTTTAATTTTTATTAGTGAAACACCATGATGTACAGTTGTAGACTTACAAATTTTTGTGCTTGGGTTTCAGTTATACAATGATCGAATTCCCATCCCTCCACCAGTGCCCATTCTCCACCACCACCAGTCCCAGTAACCCTCCCACCCCCATCCCCCCATCCCACCCTACCTCTGTGGCAGGGCATTCCCTTTCGTTATCTCTCTCCTTTTGAGTGCCGTGTTTTGCAAAAGAGACATTGAGTGGCAATCTTATTTGGTCTATAGTCTACTGTCATCACGCATTTCCCATACTGAGAGGAACCTCCCAACACCCTTTATTTGGTGCTCCCTTCTCTATCTGAGCTGCCTTTTCCCCTAGCATATGCGGCTGTCCTCAAAGCCATGGAGTAATCCTCCTGGTACTTATCTCGGCTATTCTTGGGTGTTAGTCTCCTATTTTGTTATTTTATGTTCCCCAGATGAATGCAATCTATGTCTGTCCCTTTCTTTCTGACTCACTTCAGTTAGCATGATACCTTCCATGTAGTACCTCTTGTATATGAATTTCATGACTTCATCTTTTCTAACAGCTACATAGTACTCCATTGTGTAGATGTACCAAAGTTTCTTTAACCAGTCATCTGTTCTCACGCACTCAGGTTTTTTTCCAGATTCTGACTATTGCAAAGAGTGCTGCAATGAACAAACAAGTGCAGATGTCACTTCGACTATACTTTTTTGCCTCTCTGGGATATATTCCCAGGAGTGGTATTGCTGGGTCAAATGGGAGCTCAATTTCTAATTTTTTGAGGATTATCCATACTGTTTTCCAAAAGGGCTGAACCAGTTGGCATTCCCACCAGCAGTGAAGGAGGGTCCCTTTCTTGCCACATCTGTGCCAGCACCTGTTGCTTTTGTTCTTTTAGATGTGGGCCAGTCTCTGTGGTGTGAAATGATACTCATTGTTGTTTTGATCTGCATCTCCCTGATGATTAATGATGTAGAGCATTTTCTCATGTGCCTTTTAGCCATTCGGATTTCTTCTTTGAGAAAGTTTCTGTTCACTTCATCGCCCCATTTTTTGATGGGGTTGGTTGTTTTCTTCTTGTGGAGTTCAAGCAGTATTTTGTATATCCTTGATATCAACCTCTTGTCAGATGTGTATTCAGATAATATCCTTTCCCATTCTGTAGACTGTCTTTGTATTTTGGTCACTGTTTCTTTTGAGGTGCAGAAGCTTCTTAGTTTAAGATAGAGATTGTCTGATGTCTTTAAACTAGAGTTGTCTTCATATTGATAGTCACCTTTATTTTCCCTTTGATGTCTTCAGTGCCTATATTTATATCCTGCTTTATTGGTGACG